CAAGGCAGAGTTTCCCATTATGGCGAAGATTGACGTGAACGGCGACAAGGCACATCCCTTGTATGAGTTCATGAAGAAGGCTAGGCCTGGTGTTCTCGGCACGAAGGCCATTAAATGGAATTTTACATCATTCCTCATCGACAAGAATGGCATTCCTGTGGAGCGCTTTGCATCCGGTGCGACAGTTGAAGAGATTGAGAAGTGCCTTATTCCGCTGCTTGAGAATGACGATGTTCAGCACTCTTCGTAATAAGGTACTTTACGATTCGCGTACGTTTGCTTAACCGCGTTTCTTGTTTTTTTTTCCCTTTTTCATCTATCTATCTATCTGTGTCTGATTTTTTGTGTTTCTCAGTGCCCTCCTCACAATTATATACTCCACAACCACGATAGCCATGGCAGCGAGGGCCACTACAAGAGAGGGATGCCTGGGCGGTAGTGAATGAAGGACAATATACCGACATCCGTGAATGTAGTGGTAGTAAGAGTGGCTGCAAGATCGTTTGTTTGTGGAAGAGGTATTTACTTTCCATGCGTGGGAGGTGTGGTGAGAGACTTTGAGGAAGGTGGGAAGGAAGCGGATGGAGGATGAGGGTGAAGAAGAGCAGGCGATTTGGCGAACAGGCAAATTTTTGACATCTCTACTCACTGAATTTGTGGATCACGCTTCAGGGAACGGATTCGCCCTGGAATGACCATTGTTGCCTGCGTTTTTCTGTCGTTCTCTTCTGTTGTTGTTTGCTTGCTTGTTTAAGGGGGATATCGGAAGTGATCCGGCTTCTCCCTTTTGTAGTTTGTGCTCGTGTTGGTGCCCGCGGTTGCAGCGGTGTGTGACGGTGCATTGTCGGTTGTATTACTGGCCGGGGACTGTGCAGAGAGAGAGACACACACACACTCACCGAGAGAGAGAGAGAGAGAGAGGTCGCATCAGAAAAGCACATCTCTCTGCTGCCGTTTCACGCTGTGGCGGGTTGCTTCAGCATGCGTGGGAGCGACACTCCGCCGACGTGAATGCCAACCGGGAACAGAGCACTTGTCGTGGCATTTGTTCGTGCAGCTGCACTGGTGCCATGCCCCCGTCTGGAGAAGGCATCGTCGGATGTGGAGGAAAGCGGCGGGCCTCCCGTTCCACCGCCCCCAGTGCCACCATTCACGTCGGCCACATGGCTAGTGGCACTTGGCGAGAGTGACAGGACGCTGCAGGAGCCTACAAAGTGGCAGGACTTCGCTCGTGCGCACAAGACAATTACGGCGGAAGCCAGGTCTCTGGGATTTGATGCGCTAGAACGAGGTGAGGTGCGGCGACGCGCCAAACTATCTCTTAACAACGTGGCACAAACGCAGCAGCAGCTAGATCATCGTGCTTGTGGGTATAGTAATCCCACCAGGACTGAGAGCGAAACTGCTGCGGCAATTCTGAAGGAGGAGCTGGAAGGGTGTCGGGCTTGGGCGGCTGTTAATGCTGCTGCTTCTACTCCTCGTCACCCGATTAGTCTTATTACTGCTAGTGTCAGAGCAGCTGCAATGGAAAACATGTTGCCTTCTTCAGCGTGTGCTTCTGCTGCTGCTGATGATGATGATGATGATGTTGTTGTTGTTGGTTGTAGTGAACGTATCGAGTTATTGCTATTGGTGTTTTCGGTGGTGTCGGCGATGCTGAACCACCGCCTTCCACTGCGCACAGCTCTAGATGCTTTGGCACCGCACACCTCAGAAACTACCCTTGCTATCTGTGAGCAGTTCCTCGGAGAGAATAATATTGTTTTATTCAACATTGCAGAGGCGCTGTGTTCTGGTATGTCGACCCCTGCTTCCTCTCTCTACACAATGCAGTGCGTCCACGCGTTTGTGAGGGAGAAGCAGACTGGGCGCGTACAGCACCTGCTGGGTGATGAAGAAGGAATGGTGCGCTCGCCCCCAGAAGAGGATTTGTGGGGCGCTGCTCTCCACACACTCAATGAGGCACAATTGCTCGAAGCAAAGCGCCAACTTCAAGAGGAACTGCAGAAGCTGCTGACGGCTGCTGCACGCGCCGATCAGCGTAGTATTGCGACGGCCCAACGCTTTGGGAGTGCGTGTGACGCGCACCGAATAACGGTGACGAACTCGCAGGCTGTAAGAGTTCACTCAGGACGCCGTGGAAAAGGCTCCACTGCCGCTACTACACGTGTACGCAAGGTAATTACACCGGTGCGATGCACTGACTCTGGGGAAGCAAACATAGTGGATGCTTTGAGGGAATCTTCAGGCGCCTCAGCGAGGTGCGGCACGACTGCTGCAACGCATAGGCCGGAGATCTCGTCTTCCTGCTGGCAGCGCAGTGCAATAGAGGTGTGGAGATCGCGACGCGAAGCCGTCCTTGTGGCGTTGGACAGATACCAGCTTCTTGTTTCTGGCGACGATCAGGAATGTCAAGAGAGAGCGAAAACTGAGGCGATGCCTGCAACGGCTCCTTCCGCTTTACTGGAGACGCTCTCGTGTCAACTTCGTGCTGTGATTAGTGTGGATTCTGATGCAGCGCACATACTGGATGCACTGTGGCGATGGACCGGGAGTGAGAGCAATGCGGCAAGTACGGGAACACACACAGCGTTGGCGCTAGAGCTCGTTTTGTTTCTCTTCGCCACGGCGTCGACGAAATCTGAGGGCCGTGGTGTGTTGCTTGAGCTGCCAGGTCTGTTGAGGCGGGTCTTGGAGGTAGACACAGGCAAAAATGCAGCATCATCTTCGTTGCTCCGAGCACTTCCGGACTCTCTGTCTGTTTTCCTTATTGATACGGTTTTTTCGGCGTTGCTGCGGTGTAATGCGCATCCTACGACTGCAGATGGTCGTCGGATAGACAATAATCATTCGCTGGCATGTGTGGCTGGATTGCTGTGGGAGCTCCATTCCCCACATGTGCTGCGGCATGCCGTGTCGATGTGGCGCAATAGGAAGTCCCCTCCCGAGCAGGGTGTGAGCGACGCTGGTAATTCGTCTTCGTCCTCGTTGTTTCAGCAGCATGCCAACGCAGTGATGCTACTGCTTCTGGTAGTAGCAAAGCGAGTCGGCCCTGAGGCAACGGTCGAGTGTTCGTCGCCACCGATGGATTTGCCATTTATTTTGGCAGTTTGTGAGCTCCTGTGCAACGATGTCCTTGCGCTCCTTAAACAGATCCCAGTTCGCGCCAAAAAACCGCTGCCACGTTTCATCAACGAGGCACTATGGAACGTGCTGTTTCCACTGGCCACGTGGGCCCTCCACCACAGTGAATGCACACGTAGCGAATGCGGGATGGCGGCGGTGCGCCAACTGGTTGAACTCTCTCACGCTGTCGTGGGGGATTTGACGCTTCGGTGGGATTACAGTGTCGTGCCGACGCGGCGGCTCTGGAGAAGAATGAATAAGAGGGAAATGGGGCTGCCATACGCCACAGACTTGGTAGCGGCGGTGGAGGAGGAGGAGTACGAGGCAGATGACACAGTAGCGTGCCGCGTCGTGAGGTTCGCATCACTCCTTGAGGGGATGCTGCTAACTGCTGCAGAGGTTCTGCCGCACCTTCTCCCTGATTCATGTGCTTTCTCCTGTATGTGCAACGCTGTTGGCGTTGTTCTGCACGATGTGGACGGCCGCACTGGCCATCAAATCATGACGCATCTCCTGCGATTGACACCACCCGAGGCGAGGATGGATGTCGAGGCCCACATTGCTGTTGTGCGCTGTCTTGCATCTATGCGGCACGGGTGCACTCTCTGGGAAGAGGCTGTGTGGCACTACAAGTGCGCAGTTTTGACAGCATCTGATGCCAATGCGGTGGTTGCGGCGTCAGAGTGCCATCTTCGCCGTCCACACGTGCCTACAGATTTGGGTACTGCACGCGTGTTGCGTTGTGTGGGAGGCTCCCCACTTCCTCGCGGTGCGCGCTGCATGCTTACGATACGTCTTGTTGCCTTTGCACGTGCGGCTGGGGTTCCCTTTAGCGCCCACTCTTTAGCCGCCTGCTTGCTGAACTTCACAATGCGAAGGAATCCACCAGTGCGTGGTTTTAACGGTGCCCCCTGGTGCGACGCGCTGGAATGGTATGACGATGTCATGTCGCGGTGCGACGAGGCGGCGCCGCCTATGCAGGACTTGTCATGTTTTCACATTGCGTGCCTTCAGAGCCTGCTTGCCCACGGGGAGTGGACAGAGGCGTCCCTCTCGTTGCCGATGGCGAGTATTTCCCGCCTCTGCGAGGGCAAGGCTGCACTCAGCCTGAGTGACGTCACTGGAAGAGTCTCTTTCCTTTTGGCATTGTGCGCGGCGGATCGGACGCAAAGCTGCGCGGATGCAGCAACCGCCTTGTATCAAACGTTGCAAAACAGTCTCCCGGCTGTGGGGTCGCCAGAGGTGAATCCCGAGCAACTGCTGCGACTCTATCGAGCTGCAGTTGCCGTTCCACCAATGCACCGCGAGCTTGAGGTGCGGTGCCGCACACCGCTCTTCCGCCACGAGGCGGCTCTCATTCCCAGGTCTGTGGATGAACGTGACGGGGAGTTAGCGCTCCGCTTGGGGATATGCGGGATCTCCCACCATCATCACCACCACCACGATGATCATCCATGTCATGGCCACTACGCGTTGGTAAAAAAACTGGAGACGTGCGTCTCGTGTCGTCTCGCCGGCGCTGCGGATCGCACAGCTGATGCGCTCGATATCGGCCCACAACAGCAAGAACATCAACCACATTCACGTTTGCGTGTTCGTGAACGTAGTTCGCGTACGCTGTCTATTATGCGGGTCGTGTGGTCGGAGGAAGAATACATGAAGAAGACAAAAGGGGCTGAGGCTGGGGTCATGGAAGAGGGCGTGACGCGCTCGTTGATGGATACGCGCTACGCCAACGTTATGGTGCCGCTGCAAAAACTCCAACGACTTCGCGCAGCAAAGCGGAATGGGAGGCGACGACGCCGTGGGACTACTCTGTGACATGAAGTGGAGAAAAGAGACAGACAATAGCGCAAGGGAAATACGTCGAGAGGAGAGAAAGAAACATAATGCGTTGTGGTGCCGGTCGCTCTTTCTCCGCACTCTATTACTATTTCCGCTTTCTCACCCGTGATGTGCCATATATGAAGGCGTGGTGAAAAGGAAGTAGAAATGCTGCACTGTAGCAGGTGTTCCAGGGCACCCGTGTTCTGCCGCATTATTGATATTATGCGGCAACATGAGCCATATGCGCGGCCTGGGATTTTGTATCCTATTCGTGTGGAACTGGGCGCTAATGTGGAGAAGTGCACTCCCCCCGAGCTGCAAGATATTATCGACACCATGCTGGCCCGCTCTCAGCGCTTCGCGACAGTCAAGACAGGGATGGTGTACAACGTTGACCACTCCGTGGCAACTGAGATCAAGGCTTACGGCCGTTATCTTGTTACTGGGAATATGCGGGGAGGATACATCAAGGGCGACCACCGATATGGACCGCGCTTGACAGGATATGGCGGTGCCACAACGAAGCCGGGTCTGAGGTGGAACGGAGACGATTTATGAGCGCAAGTGGGACGTCGACGCACGTGTGTACTTCACGGTCAGCACTCAAAATGTTGAATGACTCTTTGTGACAATGGACAGATTGCCACCATGTTGTTTTTTAATCCATGTTGCATGTACTTGCGCAGTGCTTCTGTTGATTCCCCTCCTCCCTCACCCCCATTTTTGTGTTGCACCCTTCAGCATTCAGCCTATAAACATCTCATAAGAGAGACTGTAAGCGCGAAGTAAAGGGAAACAGGCATTTTATATTGCCATATATATATATTTAGTGAGAGAGAGAGAGAGAGAGAGGGAGAGGAAGAACTATTAAGAGGCAACTACAGGGACTCCATGATTGCTGAGGGAGCTGCTGCAGCCACCGAGGTGCCGTCGGTGCGTCGCGTTCGCCGCATGCGATCGCAGTTTGAGCGGCTCGTACGCCCCGCGGATGTTGCGCCTGGTGAACCGATGCCCAGTATTGAGGGATGGGCGCTCTTCCTCACCAACCTGCCACCCAATACCACCAGCGACCACATCCTTGACCTCTTCCTCACCCACAACGGGGCCAGTGGTGAGGGCTACGACCCGATTCGTGAAGTGAAGATGCCGCTCGACAAGAACTGCTGCTGCAGCGGATACGCGCTGGTAGAGCTGGAGAGCAAAGATGCGTTTGAGCGGGCGCTGCGCGAGCTGGATGGTATCGTGTTGCCGTTCGCTGAAGGCGATGCACCAGAAGGACAGGACGCGTGGCGGCTGCGCATCGCCCCGACGTTTCTTGGCGAGGAAGAGGAAGAGGACCCGATGGCGGGGGAGAAACGGGCGCGTGAGTGAAGGGCATCAATGTATGCTGTGCCCACCCCCCCTTCATTCTCTCATTTGATTCATTTCTTTTTGGAGTATAAGCATATCCCTCTTTGCCCTGCGGGCGAAAGAGCGATAAGGTGGACGAAAAGAATGAACGTGGCGGAGCTTAGGGTGCTTGGGGGAAGGAGAGCAAGGGACCGTTTCCACCATCATGTGGTTTCTTCCGGTTGTTATACTGTTGTTTTACGTCGACTTGTTTGTCTCCCACATTGAACAGTGTTTGACCCTCTCTTTCTGTGTGGGTTTGTGCATCATTTCCTCTCGCGTTTCTTTTTTTTTGTTTTTGGCGCCTATCTTTGTGTCTATTGGGGTGCTGCAGAAACGCACTGGTGGGCTCTTTTTCGGATTCGCCTTAACGGGGGGGGNAGGGGGAGGAGCGACCCGCTGCTGTATTCCAGTACACAATTCACAACGTTGACGGAAAGAGGAAGAGGTGTGTGCGTCTGTGGGAGGAGGGCGTTGTCTCTAGATGAGAGCCGCCGCGTCGACTGTGGCTATCAGCACATCATCCGTGTGTGCGGAGGGCGCGGACGCGCAGCGGACGAGCCTGCCATTCGTTGTCTTCGAGCTCGTCATGGCCTCGCTATGCACTTTTAGCTATTTTATAATGCGACGTCTGCGCCGACTGTCAGAGCTGCGCGCGCAACAGCGCTACGATAGGCTGAGTCGCATTGAAGTAGGATTCGGCGCCAACACCAACGCCTCAGATCGCACGGTAGCGCTGTAGATTGTGCGATACATGTGCGTGTGTGGTTGTTTGCGTGTGTGTGTGTGCGTGCCAGTCAGTCAGTCACTCAGTCGGTCCCTCTGCTTGTGGGGATGATACTTTGATGCCTGACGTGCTGCGTTGCTTCCCTTAGAACCGTGTGGGGGTCATGCCGCGTCATTTGTTTCAAAAGTTATCTTTCCCTCGCACTTTGTCCATCTTGTTCCCATATTTGCTCTATCGTTCTTTCCGTGTGTGTGTGTGTGTGTGTGTGTGTGTGTGCCTCCTCAAGCGGCGATTTGTCAGATGCGATGAACCGTTTCATGCGGCTGCGAAGCGACGGGGCCCTCTCTATTGATCTCGACGATGCCACCGACGCCGCACCCGTGCTGAGTGCCTTCAACCGTGACGGCGGGAGCAGTGCTGGCCCGCTTGCGACCGCCGTCCGCCGCTCCATGACGCCACACAAGAGCGATGCGTGGTTCGGCAACGTCTCCTCCACCACCGGTGACTCCTCCTCGCCGGTCCCACGCCGCCCATCACCTGTAAAGGAGGTTGAGTTCGATATGAAGGCGCGTCTGGCACAAGAGGAAGAGTGGAATGCGCTGCAAGAGTGCACCTTTCACCCAGTGATTGGTGCACGATCGAGGCATTTGGCGGCGGCGTCGTCGTCGTCGCCGAAACCCGAGTCGCGGCTATGGAATTCCCCACGGCGTGGGACTTCGCCGAAGCGTGTGTTCGACAAACTCTTTGCCGACGCCAAGACGCAGCAGGTGCAACGGGCACAGCTTCGTGCTGATTGGTGGGTGGAGGAGCAGGAGCGGCGCAAAGAGGTGGAAGGGCATGGGCTAGTTGGCGATATTTCACCCACACGGAGGAGACGCGGTAGTGGCGCCATCATTGACGGTGAGGATGCCGATGAGGGCGTGGCTGGGGTATTCAACCGACTGTACGGTGACGCACAGCGACTCCGCCAGAAGCAAGATGAGCTACTGCGTAAGCGAGAGGAAAACCTGCGTGAAGAAGAGAACAGGGTGACGATGCCTTCTCCGCAGCGACGGCACAGGAAAGGCGAGGGCTCGCCACGGCTAACAGCGGCAGACCGAAAAGAGCTCTTTGCGCGACTCTCCATGCCAGTGCGAAAAGCCGAGAAGAAGGAGCTGACGCCCACCGGGCACACTGCATCGACAAAGGAAGGGGAGGACTCACGTCGGTACGCGTTGCAATGGCCTGTGCCGTCTATGCACACGCTGACCTTGGCGGATTTGCGGCGGCACAACGATTT